TCTTTCGGAAATTCTAATCGATAGCCACAAAGTACCTGAAATCGCCATTACATAGAATGTTTAGTGGTCATTTGCTCGGATTAGAATATGACTCATTCCGTATTGCTGTTTCTATACAATATTTTTCACTAATTTTCTTCGTTTTTATCTGTAATCTTTGATTTGATCATATTCACACAGCGAAATGATCACGCACAAAGAATTCTCATCTTTTGATCAAATACTACAATTTCATTTCGAATAATCAACAGCTTTTTCCGAGGAACAGTTGAGGAACTGTTTTTCCAAAACACCAATAATTGAATCGTCCGAATAATTGAATCGTTACAATTAATCTGAGCAATCCATTAAATCTCCACATATTTCAAGCAGTCTACCAGTACAATTTTAACGCCTACCTTTTCTTGAACCTCTATATTTGCCATGTCTTCATATGGCTCTTTACCGTTCGTAAAAATCTCCCAAACCATTATACCAAAACTGTACACATCACTTTTCTGGAACACTTATTATCATTTGAAATACCGCACTGATGTTTTTTTTTTGTTCTCGTTTTTCGATGCTTAATTTCGCTTGTTGAAAAATTTACTTCTGCTGAAAATTTGGTTTGCTCCAATAGTCAGACGTTATCGACTGACATAATCACAACATTACCTGAGTATATAAACCACTTGAGAGTGTTTCTGGAGACAGCCATCGAATAGGTAACTTTTTGGCTGACGTCAATTGATAGGTGTTTCCTTTCCGCGATAATCCAAAATCACTTATTTTCACCTGAATCAATCAAAACTTCGAATGCAATCGAAAGCGAACATTAAAATTGCTAAGTTGAACGCATTACAATCGATGTCTTTAACTGCGCATTGCATTAAATGATTTACTTTGCAAATTTATTTGGAATTAGTGAATTCTGCAAAGGATTCTCGTTCAGACTAACAGTTTTATCGGTTGTATATAAACAGTTTCGTGCTGCAATATCTCGATGTATACACTGCATGTAATGTAAATATTCAATGCCCCATGATGCACCCGAACACATGCTTGCTAATTTTTCGTGATATTTTACATCATTTCCTTTCTTTCGCAGAAATTCATCTAATGCTCCACCAGTGATCTGTAACCATCATCAAACGTTTCGTCAGTTAATATGACTTCGAAATTCATCAGACTTACTTCCAAAACATGAGTAAAACAAGGTACTCCAAGCTGAATCGAACTCAAATTTTTTGATGGAGTTAGAAAATTTTGAAAAATTCAGTTCTGCCATGCATGTTAGTTAGCACTCAAATGCTCTTCAATGGCTTCATTCGTCATCGTGATAGTTTCTCGAGAAGTGACAAAGGACGGTTGCGATGAGATTTGGTAAGGATAAGAACTCACAAATTCCATGACAATCATTAGCGGTTCTTGTTCGACAGCAACGCCATACATTTTAACAATATTTGGATGATCGTAGTGGCGCATCAATCGAGCTTCTTTCATCATATCTTTCACTTTATCTTTCGTCAAATTATCTGTTTTTGCCTTTAACAACAAGACAACTTGTCAATATTATCACAATCATTGCATACTTCTCCGTTTCGGAATTAATGTTAGTGTGTACTCAGAATTTCAACATTTCGCCTGTTGTCATGCAGCTTAAGGCTATATAACTTATGACCTTAAATTTGTTGAATTAGCTCTTTTCTGATTAATAATGAACATATTGGTTCGGAAAAATGTGTTCAAACATGTCTCGCATCGATATTTCAATAATTGATCGATCCCGGGATCAAAAATCGATCCCGGGATTGAAAAATCGTCGGGA